GGTAGGAGTATAAGATCCATGTGTAGTACCTATAACCAGTACGTTCTGAACATACAGTACATGGGCGACATAGCAAGGAGCAATCTGCCGGTCAACACGGACCTCATCTTCCAGCCAGCGCTGCAACATCCGCTGATGTGTGACGAGCTCTACTGCCAGCTGATGAAGCAACTGAGCGACAATCCATCCGGTGAAAGCGAGAAGCGGGGCTGGGACCTGCTGTACCTGGTTACGGGCCTGGTGGCTCCCAGTGTCCTGGTCATGCGGGAGCTGATCATTCTACTGCGCATGCGTGCTGACGCCCTCGCCGATGCCTGCCTGAAGCGCCTGAAGCGATCCTTGACTCAGGGCCAGCGAAAACAGGCTCCACACCTCATTGAGGTTGAGGGAATCCAGCAGCGCTGCCTGCACATCTACCACAAGATATATTTCCCCGATGATACTGTTGAGGCTTTCGAGATTGAATCGCACACCCGGGGAGCAGAGCTCATAGCGGATATAGCCCAGAGATTGGTGCTCAAGTCGCCAGTGGGCTACAGTATTTTTTTGAAGACGGGCGACAGGGTTTATGCGATGCCGGAGGAGGAGTTTGTTTTCGATTTCATCACTCAACTCATCCACTGGCTAAGGCAGCAGAAGACCATACGCTCCATATCCGACGGCCACTATCAACTGCACTTCATGAGGAAGTTATGGCTAAACAACCAACCAGGGGAGGACCTCAATGGAGACGTGATCTTCAGCTATCCTCAGGAGCTGCACAAGTACTTGAAGGGCTACTATCCCATCGATTGCGAGCAGGCCTCGCGTCTGGCAGTTCTGGTGTACAGTGCAGATCATGATGTTAGCTTGCAGCGACTGCCCGAAGTGCTGCCACGGCTAATTCCCGAAGATATTATTCCGCTGCAAACGGTGGCCGAATGGAGGCAGCAGATCCTGCCAAAAGTCCACCGCGATCATTTGACCGAGGAGCACGCTAAGCTGGTGTTTCTCCAAGAGCTCTCCCATTTCGCTTGCTTCGGCTCCACATTCTTTGTGGTGAAGCAACAAAATGACGATGCCCTTCCGGAAACGCTTTTAATCGCAATCAACAGCACAGGTTTCCATCTGCTGGATCCGCTAACTAAGGAGATCCTGCGCAGCTACGAATACTCCCAGTTGGGCATTTGGAGCTCAGGCAAGAGCCACTTCCACATTCGGTTCGGTAACATGATCGGAGCCTCCAAGCTGCTGTGCAGCACCACCCAAGGATACAAAATGGACGACTTGCTGGCCTCATATGTGAGGTACTTTCATGAACACGAATAACCATTTAATCGGGCCAAATAAATCGTGCTTTCACAAGTAACCCAACTCCTTGGTCTTGTCAATCAAGGCCAGCATTCCGACCATTAGCTCCTCACAGTTGGGTATGATCTGCACTGGTGGCAGGATAAAGCCGTAGCGTCCCTTATCACGGTACTCGATTGTGTAGCCGATCTTCTTGCCCAGCTCGTTAAACACCCAGTCCACGGAGGTTCCAGTGGCCACGTCTGTTTGAAGCGTCATATTTACGTAATTAGTATTATTTAGCACCTAACTAGTTTGATTAAAGCAATACTTACAAAGCACGTCAGCTGTGGAGCCATACTGGTAGACAGTTCCGTATGGCAGTGCTTCAATAGCATCGGCAAAAGCCTTGCCAATTGTCAGGATATCATCGTAGTTTTCTGGGAACTCCTCCTTGGTATGTCCGTAGGGCGACAGCAGGTACTGTCCATATGAGTGGAAGGATATGTACACACTGATTTCGTCCTGGATTTTCGTCAGATACTCGACCAGGGCCTTGGCTTCGGGCTCAGATCCTGGGGCGTCCCCAGCAAAAGTCTCACTGCAGGGATTGCTGGAGGCGCCATTGTTCTCCAGCCAATGGGAGTCAAAGTTCCGATTGGCGTCAGCTCCAATGCAGGCACTCGTGGCATGTGGCTGACGTGTCTTGCGCCACATACGGTCCTGTAATCGCATATATTTGAAATATATATAATATACATCATCATCAGTGCACGCATACACTCACCTTCTTGTGTGAGTACTCAAAGCCATCTACATTGAACACGGGTAATATGTGCCAATCGTAGTTATCGGCCAGACTCCGCACATCGGCATCCTTTGAGGTCAACAGCTGATTGATGAACCACGTAGCACTGGCCGAAGTTATCCACTCTCTGGCATGGACGTTGGACTCGATGAAAATGCCAGGATTGCCAGCCTTGTGAGAGATCTTGATGCCTCTGATGGTTCGGCCCTCGTAGGACTTGCCAACGATGAACTCCTCGGTCACCGAGGGATATGCGTTCAGAATCTCGTCCAGCCAGGCCTCAATCTCCTCCAGCTCGTAGTACTTCGTCCAGCCAAAGGTGGCGCTATCTGCAGTCGGCGTGACTTGCTCCTCGTCGATACGGCTAAATGGGGATCCGATCGTTAACTTTATGGCCCCCAGTGAGCACGCACTAATGGTTAGCTAATCGAGCGGGCTAATCGACTCGAGTGGCATTAACCCGTACGCTGTGTCGCATTCCAATACTTACTCCTGGACATTCTCGATCATGAGCTCGCTGCTGATATTATTGAATTTAAGAAGCTCCTGAAAGTGGTTTAGTTCTCCAGGACTGACCATAATATCAACCTGCTTACTACGCTCGTCGTACTCCTTCCAAACATTGTACTAAACACCAAGGAATATATATAGTGAAGACATATCTAATGCTGGGCAGTGAATAACTAACCTTATTCGTCAGCTCGCCAATCTTCTCGATCACAGCCAACTGGATTTTGTTCTGTATGGAGAGCTTGTATACCCTGAAGTTATCATAACGCTCTTTGGGAGTGTCCTTAAGGATCCCAGCACTTGTTAGAGCCACCACCGTGGCAAGCAACCAAAGCAGACGCATTTTGGGCAAAGACTGAAATTCTGCCGACGGCCTCGTGATTAGGAAACATAACACGGTGATTATCTGCAGTTAATCTTTATTGATTTATTGCCCATTGAATTTCCCCAGCACTTACAGGCCGGTCTTAAGGCCAAGATAACCCAGGTCTTTACACTTTTCTAATAGGGCAGTAATTCCGATTAATGCCTCCTCTGCGTTCGGAACAATGTGCACCGGGGGCAGGATGAAACCATAGCGACCGGTGTCCCTAAACTCAATGGTATACGATATCTGCACCCCTTGTTCATTGTATGCCCAATCTATGGTGGCTCCAGACGCAGGATCTACGGGAGTAATTTAAGTATGTGTCCATGCAAATACAATCGGCTGCACAAAAACTTACACAGAATGCCGGCCGCTGAGCCGTATCTGTAGACAGTTCCATAGGGCAGGCTCTCGACTGCATCTCCATAGGCTTGGGCAACTTCCATCATATCATCAAAGTTGGGCGGAAACTCTTCTTTGGTGTGTCCGTAGGGGGAGAGCAAAAGCTGGCTATACGAGTGGAACGCGAGCAAGACATTGATTTTGTCCTTGATGCTGATCACAAACTCAGACATGGCCTGGATTTCAGGCTCAGAAAAGGGCTTGGGTCCACCGTAGTCCTCGGCGCAGGGGTTCGAGGAAGCTCCATCGTTCTCCATCCAATGCGAATCGTAGTTTCGGTTGGGGTCTGCTCCGATACAACTGGAAATTTCGGAGGGTTGACGGGTCTTTCGCCACATGCGATCCTATAAAGTATGTTATCTTAGCTGTAAACAGCCACGTGTCTAGTATAAATAAATGTGCAAGTACCTTTTCATGAGTATACACAAAGCCGTCGACATTCAGCACTGGCACTATATACCAGTCGTGATTCTCGGCAAGATCCCTCACTAATTTATCCGTGGAGGTAAGGAATTCGTTAATCAACCAGGTGGCTGTGGCGGAGGTGATCCACTCCCTTGCGTGTATATTGGACTCGATAAGCACTCCAGGGTTATTCGACTTGTAGGAGATCTTTATGCCCCGGATGGTGCGGCCCTCGTACGATTGACCCACTTCAAAACTCTCTGTTATCGCTGGATAAGCGGCTAGTATATCGTCCAGCCACGCATAGATTTCCGCTAGAGAATTGTACTTAGTCCAGCCAAAGGAACCATCTCTGCTGGCTTTCCGATTGGCAGCATCCTCCGTATCGATGAGCCTGAAGAATACTCTTTCAATTTCCTGAAAATTCACAGTCAATACTAACACTTTACTCACTCCTGCACATTGCTGATAAAGAGCTCCGCAGTGGTATTGGTCTTCTGAAGCTCAGTTCCGAGTTCGCCAAACGCACCTGGACTCACCATCAGGTGTAGCTCATCCTTGGCTTCGTGCCACAGCCTGAACTGAATGGAAATGTAAGGACTTGGTTATGATGATACTTTGTGCTGACATACATTTTCCCGATCCTCCACAAGCTTTCTCAGGACACTTCTCTGCTCTCGGGTTTCAAACTTGACCTTATACACCGAGTAGTTGTCATAGCGCAGTCTTTCGTCCTGGCCAAAGCTTGCTCCTTGCACCAAGACTACCAGTGCCAGTACTAAAGGTAAAGTAACCAATGTCATGCTTATTGCTGAGAATGCGGAAACCGACTACCTATTCCGTTCAAATGAAAACCCAGACGTTTGCTATATCGATCGGTTCATAATCGGATTGTAAAGATAGTAGCACAGGAGCGCACTGTTAACGACCTATAAAACCGCATTGGTAGCCTTATCAGTTTCACACAACTGACCGTTAACATATGCATAATTTCTAATTGATAGAACACGTATCTTAAATGAAATTGAGGCAGTAATTCAGAAATAGCAATCTTATTGGACTAAAGAGCGTAATATACATATATAATTTCTTGCTTTCTTGTAATCAACGTGCTCATGACTCTGCATAATGAGGTCACATTCCGCAGAAAATATATTTCCTTATGAATAATAATAAATTATATTGCTAGAATGTTTTCAGAACAGCTTTATTTAAACACAGAAGTGTCTGTAGCTTCATTCTTATCACTCTTTTCCGTCTTGAAAAGCACAGCTGTCTGTAAATATTACTAAAGCAGCTTATATATTCAGTTTATTCAAGATGCGCCCGCTGGTTGTAATGATACTATTAATAACTGCTTGGAAAAGTAGCTCATCCGCTCCAACACCCCGTTCCTATGAAAAGTATTCAGTATACAAGGTTTTCATTGAAACTCGATCGGATCAACAGGTTATCGATCGACTGCTGGAAGATCCAGACAATGTGAGTATTAATTAAGTGGAATTCAGTGGAAAAACAATGGAGAATGCTATATTAGAGTTTCCCGACTATCAGATACCCGTTACTCAGGCAGTGGAACGAGGCATTTCATAATTATCTGGAATATCGGTAGAAATTGGGCCCGTTTGGCCGGTTTTTGCGTAGCAAAAAGTTATTTATCAAATCGATACAAATTTACAATAACAATACAATCTAATAACAAAATTAAAAAATATCAAAACATTTTTCAAAGGTGTGGGCGTGGCATGCCTAATCTCAACTTTCTAGCTCTTATAGATCCTGAGATCTCGACGTTTACACGGACGAACAACTCGGCTATTGATCCCGATAAAGTAGATATATACTTTATATAGTCGGAAACACTTCCTTCTATTTGTTACATACTTTTCAACGAATCTAGTATACCCTTTTACTCTACGGGTATAAAACCCAAATAATGCCTTAATATTCTAGTATAACTTGTGGCATCGTGGCTTAAAAGAAGTCCACCTAATGGTGAGCCCTATTGAAAAGGATTCTTTCCTAGCTGTTATGCGAAAGGAACATATTGTTGTGGAAGTAATAATAAAAAATGTTCAGACGTAAGTATAAAAGCATTTTAAAGTAATGAATTGTATAATAGTAAAATCTATTTCCAGACTTATTGACGAGTCCAAAGGTGAAACCATTTGAAAATTAAATTATTACTAGTGGCGAATCTATTTTGTGTCCTATTTAAGCTGATTTTTAAATATTTTTCCGGTATGTTTAACTTAAAATCTTCCTATTTCAGCAGTGATTTAACGTTTACAATAAAATTTATCATACACACGAATTAAGGAACCAGAATTAAAGCTAATCAATGATGCAGCCCAATGGTACGAGTATGCTTCACATCTTATGTGGTCTTGTGTAAGATTTGTAAGAATTCCAAAAACATATTATGTATATCTTAGGGACCTACCATTTCTTAATCAATTGGTGACATGCCCATGTGGTCATAAAGAATTTTATTAAACTTGAATGCTCGCAATTTTTATTTTTTATTTCAAATTTCCAAAGGAGGGTTTGGTACTGCCTCAAAGGATTTCGTCATCGTTCCACTTCGTCCCTAGGCCTTCTTGCAGCCCTCTCCGCAGTCGGCGCCCTCGCAGATGTCGCACAGGGAACTCTTCACCTGGTAGTACTCGGTGGCCTTGCGGTCCGTGTCATAGTAGTCGTAGAGAGATACGGAGGCGGGCTTCTGCTTGGCCACCGCGTGAGCCTTGGAGGCCTCCACCGGCAGGCACCGAACGTCCCCGGGAGTTAGGCTGTCAAAGTAGACCACCACCGTGGATTCGGAGTTCTTGGTCTCTACGCGCATCACGCGATCCACAGCCTGGATTTTGCCCAAGCTGTCGACGTCACCAACAAACCCTGAGGGCAGGGCGATTTCCATGACTGCCATGTTGGAGTCCTTATCCTTGTCGGCGTCCTCTAAGGGCACGTACTCGGCGCAGATGTCCACCACTAGTAGCTGACTGGGCGTGTCCTTGACCGTGGGAGTTACCTTGAAACTGGGCTTCTTCTCTTTCTCCGCCAGGTTGTATCGATAGGAGAGCTGAACCATGGCAGATCCAGTTCCCTTGGCTGTAAAGTCGACCTTGCGAGTGCTCTTTGGCAGGACATGGGTCTGCAACACCAGGGAATTCTCTGGGTTAACCTTGATTGTATTATTGGCTTCAGCCGCAGATGAGAACTCAATGTCCATGGTGCCTGAGCCAGAGCCCGTCTTGTAGGCGAATTTCGTGAGCGCCTGCAGACCAATCACGGTGTCCTGAGTGGAGGAGAATCCTCCGTTGCTGTTTCGCTGCGATATTAGCCACTTGATGATGGGCAGCGCCTTCTCAGCCGGATCCTTTTCAAGAAGCGCGAGCAGAACATAGGAGGTGATCTCGACCTCGTTACTGCGAGGTTTCCAATGGAAAACTCCTCCATCCTCACCAGTCGATTCCGAGGCCTTGGACCACCACATTCCTCCATTTTCGTTGCGGGCCACGCTCTCCAGCTTAGCAATGACCTTTTCCGCCTGCGGGTGCTTGGCCAGTTGGAGGGCCACGGCGGAAATGGCCAAGGAATACTGGTCGTCCGTCTTGTCAGCCTCTTCGGCCACATAGCGCACTGCCTTCTCAATGGCACTTTGGTACTTGGGGGTGAGTTCCTGAAGCAATAAGGGATAAGTCTCTGGTCAAAATACGTAATCGGTGTGTAGTAGACAGCTAGGTGACTTACATGATTCTCGAAGAAAGCCAGCAGGACGAACGAAGTTAGACTCAATGGGTTTTGATTTGCGTTGTCGAAGAGTTTGCCGACCTCCGGGAACTCGCCACTCTGCTTCTGCTTCGAAACGAGGAAGTCAAGACCGGCACTGACGACCTTGGGATCGATATCCGTGTAGCTTCCTGCTTGATGGAAGGAACGCATAACATAGGCGGTGAGCCAGGTGCTCCCCGAAGCGTCCGACTTTCCAAATGCACTATAGGAACCATCGTTGTGCTTGTAGGTCAGTTCCCTCTGGTAACCGATCTCCAGGAACCTCCTAGCCTTGGACTCCACGGACGGAAGCTTTCGCCCAGTGACCTCCAGGTATTTCAGCACCAGGATGTTGGGCACAAAGTTCACCATGTTTTGCTCTCCGCAGCCGTACGGCATGCGCACCAGATTGTCAAGATTCTGGAGCGTGGGTCCCAGAAGATCACCAACCACAGAGAACTCTATAAATTCGGACTGGGGCACGATCTCGCTGGGAATTTCGGCTTCCAGAGACTGAGACATCTCCGGCTGATCCTTGAGGTTGATAAAGACAGCCCGGTTTTCGAACTGGGTTACGCCCTCCGGCTCAACCTTCAACTTCTGATGAATAGTATCGCCGGCCAAGGCAGAGGTGGCTGTGATCTTCAGGGTTGTGAATCCTACGTTCTTCGGTCGGATCATAAATGAAACACTCTTGCCACTATTAGCCGGTATTGTGACCCTTTTTACTCGGCGCACCTCGTCGATGGCCTTCTCCAACACCTCGTTGGTGGCCTCGGTGAATTCATACTCCTGATCGGAATTGTCCATAACTACATCTGCATCAAGGGTCTTGTCCAGGTAGTTGAAAATGACCACGGGAATCGCAATTACCTCGCCTTGGATATTTTCCAATTGTTAGGATGCTCAATACTGATATTGCAATTGCCTTACCTCGCTTTACGGAGTACGGCAGGTTGGTGGACACAAAGAAGGGCTGGAATACTCGAATCTTGCTTGGGCTCTTGGTTAAAGCAATTCCGGAAGTTGGGTTAAGGGAGAAACCCGTTACCACCCATGAGGTGATCGTATCCGGTATCTTCTTGGTCAGGGTTAAGCCCTCTTCACCCACGCTGTATAAAGATGACCATAATTCGGTTAGTTTTTGGAACTTCATACAGGTTCGAATGAGCATATACACATTATACGAAAACACACAAAATATTAGGTTGGCGTGAAGGGTTAGTTAACAATAAACATGCATGGGAAACGTTAAAAGCAGTACGGAAACTAATTACTCTTTCGGGAAAATTTGAAATTCGTAAATCCAAGACTCTAAGAATGTGGATCGGACGCCAATTTTGCTATCGACGTTTTCCGCTTCTGAAGATGGTTGACTCGTTACGTGAGTAGGTTTTTGGATTTTCGGAGAACCCGGTCTTCCTCCACTGACCATCATTATGGGGACAAAACCCCTTACTACGCCTTAAATTATTCAAAATAGGAATTGTTTTAATGGATAGAGTATTATAAACAACATTTTCTACGTAAATGTTAATTATTTCATTCCTATTTAGTTCTATACTGATTTAACTTTGAAAAATCGTTTTTATATGTATTTGGCAACTGTTCTCGAAGATCCAAGTTTCTGCGAAATTTTGTCTAATTTATATTTCAGGTAGGTGAATGCGTAAAACTTGATGTCTAGGAAGATGTGGCCTTTAGAATATATCGAATTTTTGCAAATATTTTTCATTTTACATTTACATTGGCAATTGGGAATACTTTGCTCTTCCAGCGCAAGACTCATTGCAGACTCATGGCATTGCTAAATAAATGATACCTTGCCACATTGGAAAATATCCGTGGCGCAAAAAACTTGTGACGTACCAACAATTTTCTTGTAATTTAATTTTTCTTGCGCAATATTAAAATATCAATATTAAAACAAAATACTTTGCCGCATTGGCAAAAAGCGGACCACGAAAACTACAAACGCGAAAAGCATTTTAATTCTGATTTCAAAATTTCAGATGTTTAAGCCATGAAGGCATGCAGGGTGACAAAACAGAACACAATAGAAAAAATTGTTTACTTTTCAAAAAACCACGTTTCTGGAAACTCTTTGCGAATTGTTGTTCGTTGGGATGTTGGTTTTAAGAAGGGTTCTTTTCGATTCGGACCCAGACTTATCATACTTCTATAGGCCATTGGTGTGAGATCAAAAAACATAGAGTCAAAGATTGTAAAGCGTGGGTTTTCATCAGGGAACTTCAAGTGGCGACCTGTTGTACCAATTACGTTAAAAAGTTTGGTCATTTTCATATTGCGACTATAAGTATAAGCAGTTTTCTATTAACAAATTCTATGTTTATATAACATTCAATCTTGTAAATGAAATATATGAATCTTAAGTTGCAAAAGGTAAGGGTTTGTTAGTCAAATACAGGAATGTGACTTGATTCATCAAATATCAAGTATCATACTTTTCGAAGTTGTTAAATATCCAATTTTCCGGAAACTCTTTTCGAACCTGTGGTTCAGAAGTGAAGGTTTGTACTAAGGATCCACCAGATGTTACGCGATTAAATAGTGGACGTGGGAATCCAATCCCTGGTCTAATGAATATTCGTCTTTCTGCCAGATGCATAATATTTCACTTTTATTTCGGAAGTGATTTCAGTCTCTGTATATGTGGATTATTGAGTAGGGCTTGTAAGTCAAAACTGTCCATGGAGGCGGGTTTATTCTAAGAAATAATCCTGATAACAATTTTGAACCTGATCTACGAAATCCAAAGCCTGTAGGTGTTAGAGCATTGATAGTTAATCGTAAAGACACCCCAAGACACTATACACAAGGGGAAGACCTAAGGATAAAGTTAGAAATGCGTCATACTTTTCGGCATTGTAGAATATCCAGTTTTCCGGAAATTCTTTTCGAATCTGCGATGCTTGATTAGGAGATGAAGCTACAATTGGAGGTCCAGCCATTTCCGCTAAGGCTGTCTGAGGTTCCGCAAGGGAAAATGCTAATGGGAATTCTTCATTAAGCATAAACGGGTAGATTGGATAAAAATCTGCATCGGGGATATATGATGATTATTAAGAGACTTATATAGCTTACGATCTAGTGCAAAGTTTTTAAAGATCTTGAAAGTATTACATATCATTGGTGCATGTAGGTGTTTGCTAAAATGCTAAGGCCTTAACCACCCTGAAGAAGTGTCTAACTGACTAGCCGGGTTCGTTAGTAAGCAACTTTAAGTTAATAGCGAGCATGCACGAAAAACTAGAACCCACCTCCCGGTTCCCGATGTTGTCCATATCCAGACTTCTGCAGACTTCACCGCAACGATCGGAATCAAAAGACCTTCGAACCCCAATATGACATTTTTCCACTAACGTATTAGTACAATTTTGCGTTAGGAGCCTAGACAGCCTCTAAGGATAATTAATTTTACCCAAAAATAAAAATATGAAACCAGAGAAAGCTGTATGTTAGAGTGCAAAAACTAAAACCCACCTCCCGTTGACGGATGTTGTCCACATCCAGACTTCTGCAAAGTTCGTTCGAACTAATTCGATTACTGTAGGTGAACTTATAGAAATGTCGTCCACTTCGTCGTATGAAATCGAATCTTCTACTTGGAACTCAGGACTTTCAGCGATTGCTGTGGCTAAAAAATTGATTTCATTGAATTTCGATTAATACGAATGATGGTATTTTTCCCATTTGCAATTGGACACGCCCAAGAAACACGCCCAAGAAACACGCCCTAAAAACCAAACTATGTCTTTAGAATAATATTATTCCGCTGTTGTATTAGTAGAATTTTGCATTGATAGCCTGGATAGCCTTTGCTCAATCATAAAAATAAGAAAACAGAGATAGCAGTGCGTTAGGGTGCAAAACAAGTGGGGTCAATTTCCAGTGACCCACCTCCGGCCGATCGATTGCCAAATCCAGACATCGGCAAAGTTCTTACGTATCTTTACGGGCTCAACGGAATTCCCGGTGTCAGGGGGGAAATTCGAAATTACAGCCATTGGAGGCACTGCTTCAATACTCTTTTCGAAAGCGTAGATTCCCGGATCGTCTTCAACATAATCGAGAAATTCTGATAATGACCAATTATTGTTAGCATATGGCAACTAATTTCATACTTATGTAGCTGAAAACAATATGTTCCTTTCCTTAAAGCCCTTGTCTACAGCAATTTTTAGAAGATTTCAATGGAATAATCCTGCTAATGCTTAAGCGTACTTTTCAGGATCCTAATTCTTACCAGTACTGTAGATGTAGTTGGCGTTCGTTAGCGTCACCAGGCCAGATATTTGTCCAGGATAACGTCCAAAGCCTTGCATCGAGGGTGTTGATGTCTGGTATTTGTTGAGGCTATTGAAGATTTCATCTTGGCTTAGATCATTGCCCGACTTGAGCAGCAGGACACTCTGATCCACTCCCAGAAGACCCACAAAGGAGTCGGCATCGGTTTTAATCCGTAGCTTGACCTCTTCACTGGGCTTGGCATTCGTTGGAGCCGAAATATCAATCTGTATAGGCAAACGATAATTATTAATTACAGCTTAAAAGGACATTGAATGGGTAAACATACCGAGTTAACAAACTCCTTCTCGAAGTTAACAGTTGTCTCCTCGAAGTGTAGATCGTTGTTCAACACATAATGAACATAGATCGTTGCCTTGGGCACCATGCTGAATGTTGGGGTGAACTTAACCGAGTATGTTTTCCGGCCCTCTGGCACATCCACGTAATCACTGAGTACAATATTACCTCTGGCCACAATGGTGTATACGAAATAGGGCAGGTCTCCAATCGAGACGACATCGAAGGAAACTTGTTCGCCTAGTCTAGGCCTAAAATAACATAAGGTCAAATACTTGCTAGGCCTTCATGATGGAATTATTCAACTACTTACTTTTTGGTGTTCACCTGAATCTTAAGTGGCTCCCTGCTCACCCTGCTTGGGTAGAACTTCGAGATGGAACCGATGTTGTCCTCTGACCCATCAAATGATGCAAATATACGATAATATTCAGTTTCGCCTTCGGGCAGCGTAACATTAAAGGTGGCAATGCCATTCTCATTCACAGGTGCCTCAAAGTTAATGCGTGACGCATGAGTTCGCTCACTAAAATAGTTATACGAATTGCTAAAGCCTATCCTAACGTTCTTCGCAGAGCTCGTGACTGGGGACCCATCAACATTCTTCACCACAACCTGATAGATGAACGACTTCTTGCTTTCAAAGTGGTCTGGCCTTTCATATGTTTCTATCGTGTATCGCTGTTGGTGGAGCATAACTGTGGCAGTGGCATTCTGCTTGTTACCAGTCAGCTCCTCAGTTACGACGGCAAAGAGTTTAATGGGTGGTAAGTATGACCTTCCGTGGGTCCAGCTAGTAATGTCAAACTCCACATGACCCTTTCCATCGACGTCTATGGTTTTCTCCTGTTTGTCGTTCGTACCCAGGCCCCCAAAGTATCCATAGCGCGATTCCATGGACACTGTGGCCTTGCCCTTGACTGGCTTTCCGTATGTGTACTTGGCGCGGATCGTCGCCCTGATCACCTTGTCTGCAACGACCACGGCCTTGGGTGCATCCACGATGACCTCGAACTTCGGCAGGACATATTTGTCAACCTCAAAGGACTTGGTCTCCTTATTATCACCATCCACGCTGACGGAGATCTTCCAGGTGCCCAGAACAGGCTGCTCGGACAACTGAAGCTCACCAGAATATACACCCTTCGTCAACTTGACGTCGCTAAGCTGTTTAATTCTGTTTTGAGCTCCATCTGTGATTATGACTGATATAGGTTTTCCAATTTTGGCAGGTCGGGTGTTCTCGTCCAGAAAGAGGATACGGAATTGAACCAGATCGGCAGGCTTGTAGGTTGCCTTATCAGTTTGAACAAAGACCGATGGCTTCTCATCCGCATAGTTCAATTTGGTAGAATTCTTAAACACAACACCGGATAGACCCTCGGCCGTAAGTTCATAGTTGCCGGTGGCCAATTTGGGCACCTCGAACTCCACATTCTGTGTGGACATGGGCGGCAGTTCGACTTGCTTCGTTTCGTTGTAGGAGGGTCCATTTAGACTGACTTTTATCTGGCTTGGCCCATCTGCCTTGTGGACAGAAACAGCGACATTGTACTTGGAGTTGGACCGGAGGGTACCAGGCCCCACCACCGAATAGAGACTGCAAAACAAATATTATTCATTAATTAAACAACGATGATTGTGTACCGGATTTTGAATACTTAATTGCAATTTCATGTATATTATCGATAATTAATTATCTGATGGAGTTCTGTTGTTCTATGATTGATTCTTTTTAATATTCTGACGGGGATGCCTAACAATTCTGAGATACTACTGCCCTTACCTATTCATGTCACCTTATTTCGACAATATAAATATGTATCTGTAATATCTAATTTTGAATAATAATGAAACTAGCGGGGGTAGTGAATATAAATATTTTTATGGGCAATTACTAAGTTCACTTTCATGCATGAAGCCAATTAACTCATTTTCACAAATAGGTATTGAAATAAAACTGACTATAGCACTGTTATCTCTCTCATTAACCAAAGTAGTTTTCCAACCGGTTTAAAAAGAATCGGCAATAAAATCAGAAAGACAGAAAAGTTTTTATACGTGGCCTGGGAACATCCCAATTTGTCTTGTCATATATTCTCCAGGTTACCTTTTATAATATGTACCTCTCCGCCTTGCGCATTACTTTTGGAACTGATAAGCGATCAATTGTTTTTCATACATATGTTTATTTTCAGTAAAACTCACCCAGAGGCATTAATTAGCACGGCGTATTGTAAAAGAATTCCGCACAGAAAGATCCTCAACATATTGCAGGATCAATCGACCAAAAGGATGTTCTTACACTAAATTAATTCACGAACTTTTGATCCCGAACAGTATTGATTGATATTATTTCACAGTATTTCCTTTGTCTCTCGAATTGCTGGAAGACAGGCAAACAAATCTGACCAAGAAAACCGACCGATCGCCAGCTAGCGACGATTCACACTGAGTCAGTCTTGATTTGATGCCGGCCTTATATAGATTCGAATCTCTCCTCAGAGCCGCTCTCTCTCTCTTTCTCTCTCTCTTTCTTTCTCTCTCGTTCTCTCTCTCTTTCTCTCTCTCTTTCTCTCTCTCTCTCTCTCTCTCTTTCTCTCTCTCTCTCTCTCTCTCTCTCTCTCTCCCTCTCCCTCTCTCTTTCCCAAAGTGCTCTTTATTATTTTTCCGGGAATTCTCCAAGCGTAAAATGGGCGACCTGATAGATCGTCACACCAAAACACACTCGGTAGAATTTAACTAATTGTTTGCGTCATTGATGATAATCTCTTTGCGTATCTCTTTTTGGTGTTAAAAAGAATAGAAAAATGAGCGGAACACTTTCAAACTGATAGGAAACAAAACGAATAAGGAGCTGGCTTATTTACCGGCTATCAGGTACCCGTTACCCAGCTAGTGGAAGTGCGATCGAGAAATTTCAACATTTTCTTTAATATCGGTAGAAATTGAGAAAAAAAAATAACCAAATGAAAAAAACCTTAAACTTTAGAGCAGTTTGTGGGCGTTGGGCTGGCCGTGCCAAATAGTTTGTTGGCAAATCGATAGAAATTTACAAAACTAACAGAAACATTAAGCAATTTCAAAATATTTGTAAAAAATGTGGGCGTGGCAGCTTGTCGATGTTAGAGTCGGCCTGGCAACAACATTTAATAAATTTGCGCTGCGTGGAATCTGCATAATAATTCTCCACTTTCTAGCTTTTATAGTTTCTGAGATTTCGACGTTCATATGGACGGAGAGACTGACAGAGAGACTCCGCTATTGATCCTGATCAAGAATTTATATGGTCGGAAACGCTTCCTTCCACCTGTTACATACTTTTCAACGAATCTAGTATACTCTACGGGTATAATACCCGAATCTTGTGGTAACGTAGTTTCAAAGAAGTCCACCTAATGGTGGGCCCTATGGAAAATGAAGATATTCTTGTGGAAGTAATGATAAAAAATGTTCACACGTAGCTATACAAGCCTTTTAAAGTTATAAAATGATGGGTCCTGAAGTGAAACCATTTAAAAATTAAATTATTAATAGTGGCGAATCGAATTTGTGTCCTATTTAAGCTGATTTTTAAATATTTTTCCGGTATGTTTAACCTAAAAATCTTCCTATTTCAGCAGTGATTTAACGTTTACAATAACATTTATCATACACACGAATTAAGGAACCAGAATTAAAGCTAAAGTTTCCTTTTCCTCTCGAATTGCTGGAAGACAGGCAAACAAATCTAACTTAGTCAGTCTTGATTTGATACCGGCCTTATATAGATTCGAATCTTTCCTCAGAAAAGCACTTAACGGACCTTCTTATCGGTGAATTTCAATTTCCCTTGTGCGAAATGTTGCAGCCGAGATCGTTGAGGGGTTATTCGTATTAAACAATGCATCGATGTGCTAATTACAATATAAACAGCCAGCTTACTTTTTTCCTACAGTATGCTTGTTATAAAAGCTGCAAGTTTGCTGAAAGGGAAAAAATGAGTATATATTAAAAGATGTTTCATTAGGAGTGTCTTCGTTATTCCGCCAATCAATACATATGTACATATATATGTATGTTCAGTTGTCAATTTCGCACACGAAACTACGATGGCAGCTCAGCATGAACAGTCTATAAACTATTTACATTTCTTGCCATAACGAAGAATTTATTAGTTAATTATTATATATCCGAGATTAATCCCCCTAAATTTGCATTGAACTAAATACTTTTCTCTCGAATTTATCTTTCGAGCTTCGTGTTTTGGTTCGAGTTGTAGCTAAGCAGTGCCACAAACCCAACCGGCAAGAGCTTGAAGCTCTCCAAAGTTTCTTTTGTTGTTATTTTGTGATTTTGTTACGACAAATTTGAGAATTCAAAATTGCAAGAGCGATCGGCGGCTTGAGAAATCAGTTGCCAGCGAGCTTTCAAGCGGACAACAGGTGATCGCGAGCGTTCCGCAGCAGAGGTGAAAATCGCGCACAACCGAGAGCGAGTAAAGTCGCCCCAAAAACGCGCATAACGTCTTGGGCAATCTGCGGTGCTTGTATTTTGGTGCTGCTGCAATCGCGCGTGAGAGCGAGATAGTGTATGGCAGTGGTAGTGCGAGTGAGAAGGAGCAAAGCGCCTGCCCACGGCAATAAAGTTCGACTTGATTTTTGTTTTAATATGTGATGCCAATACACAATTCAACAATCGAGAAAACGTGTTTACACTTAATTTTGCCAGCGTGATTTAAAGACTAGCCGAAAATGCGCTTCCAGGGAGCGGATATCGGCGCTATTCCAGTGCTCATCTTAGTCACCGCTTGTTTGCTCTGCCAAACATCTGCCCAAGGGTTAGTATAACGCACACAGTTACACCACCTCCACAGGTGACATATTCGGCAAGTGATAGAAAAATGGAAGTATGTTTCAAATGCCACATAATGACATCACTCAAATCCAGACGATGCCAGATGACGCCAAAACAAATGACTTAGATGACGAGCTCGCGAGCTCAGTGCGAATTTCGGGACGATGCCGCCATGAAGATCTGTAATTAACAACATGTAATCATGAAATCAGCCCTGGGTTTTATTACTGTCATAATAAGCTGACAAGACCGAACAAGACGGCAGATGAAATAATCCGAAACCAACGCGATTTTTGGATGCGAATTCAATGCTTCCTACGCATACTCAGTTCGGTAGGGTGATGCAAGGTGGCAAGATGCTTAAAAGGAGATACATTCCAATAAACGTATATGTTCAGTTGCTGTCGAAACTATACAAAATATTTAAGTAACTTTCAATATATATTTCCTTCCCAATCCATTTAACTTAGGCCTCTTTATAAATATTCCGAGAATCATTTTCTGTTATGAAATAATTTCTCGAGGGCATGTCTTGATCAATAACTCTGAACCCAAAACTTCCACCGTAAGCAGTATCATTCTGTTCCCGATCGACTCACCCTGATGCTGCCGCCTGGTTGAGGTGACACATTAACATGGATTGCTACTTGTGTACTCATTTCCGATGGCTCACCTTGAAGGCTGACCACTCGTGGCGATCTGTTAATCACTTTGCGAATATATCGAGCTGTGTGTGTAGAGCTTCGCCAAGAACTGTGATTGATCGAGTAATGATCACTTCCATTGGAGGCGTCCACTTCTGGTGCTCTCCTCCTGTTTCTCCTCCTTTTCATTATCTGTCATTGAGTTGGCCGAGCTCAATCTGCCACCATATATGGGCCACTTGTTCAAGGCTTGATTGCGCCAGTTCATGTGGGTGAATTTCAAGCAATTGAACCCGGATCGAATAGAAGCTATCCTACGCCTATGAATCGCGCCCGGTTACATTTGTTTACCACGCCATTGCAGAATAAATCAGGTGGAACGGAACAGCGCTACTGCAACTGGAAACTTGAAGCCTGCATTTTGCGGCCAATTTGAGCAAAAGCGAAATTTTTTTGCCATTTACCTGTTGGTTGAAAACCGTTTTGCGAGAGCGACCACCATCGAGGGAACCTGTTTTTTAGGCTAACAAACGTGACATAAACACAAAAGAAAATTTTTGGTGGGAACAGGTTAGACCCGCCGCACCAATTGAAATTAGAACAGGCACCAAGCAGTGACTTACCAGAAAAGGTGGCACAGTTAGGAGGCGGTTCATAAGTTAAGCAATTTAGTGGACAACTGCATTGCCTTTTGCAATGGCAGCTAAATGTAAGAAGCGCCAAAAACGGATAATAAATTAAAGAGCTTACTTAACTAAAATTACTGAAGCAACATTTTATGAATGCTTTTTTGGATAGGGTTTTGAAGTATACTTTTTGGTTACGTTTATCGAAAAAAAATCGACTATCGACTATCAGATACCCGTTACTCAGCTAGTGGAAGTGCATACGAGAAATTTCCACATTTTCTGGAATATCGGTAGAAATTGGGGAAAAAATTAATAAAATGAAGAGTTAATAATGTAGCTCAAATTGCCATGGTAAATATATTCAAATGAGCCCCAAAATCTTTGATTAACAGCTGCAATTGTTTGGCTTGGCTGATTTAAAAACCCTCCACATTCTGAACTTTGAAGAGCACACAAAAGAAAACCACACAAAAGTAGTTATAGCTCGAGCCACTCTGCCGTACTTCCCACAACCCCGACCCTCAAGCCCACAGACCAAGCCACCAACAACCATTTCCGACGGATTCCTCACCGCAGCGATTGATGCTGACCCGACCGAAAGTTAAAGTACAATAGCCTCTTTCGGGCTGCGGTATTGTCTTCCGTTAGGCGCGTGAATGAATAGCAAAAAAAGATTCAGATAGCATAACAGCATAGGTGTAATCCACTTACCTACGAGCACTAAATCTGCAGCTCTTTTTGTTTGTGTATCTACAGTCGCCGGGCAGGGAAATAAACAACTATGCAAAATATAAAAGAGGGTGTAGTAAAAATATAACATTTGCAAAAGTTCACAGATTGAATATATCGAATATATAAATTTCTGGTTTTACTTAATTCTTAACTAATTTTAAATACATTTAACATTGCAGCTTGTACTCCATCATTGCACCGAATACTTTGCGTCCGAACTCGCAATTTCATGTGGCTGTGAGCTTGCACAATGCACCTGAATCCGCCACATTTAAGGTTGGAATTCTGGGGAGCTCTTACACGGACTTTAAGACCGTGGAGCTACGACCCTTTTCCACACAACTTTTGCACTTCGAGGTAGGTGGTAGCCGGAAATAATCTAACAAAAGCCAACTTATTCATCTCGAATCAACTTTAGATTCCCTCCCTAAGAACTGACAGATATCGCCTTACTGCTGAGGGCCTCGGCGGAGTTCAGTTTACCAATGAGACTCAGCTGCACTTTGAGTCCAAGCAGCACACGGTTTTGGTCCAGACGGACAAAAGAATCTACAAGCCGGGCGATCTGGTCCACTATCGAGTGCTTATTTTGGACGCCAATCTCAAGCCGGCGCG